AATACTGTCGCCAAAAAAAGCAAAAAATTGCTCCCACTAACTATGTGCCACCGTAATAGTACTTCGGAGACCGCGAACGCCATCGAATCCAATAGTGCGATGGTGATGTCTCAATACACAGGTATTGCGGAGACCGCGAACGCCATCGAAATCTAATTGTGCGAGTAAGACGCTCCCTCCACGTGAGGAAGCCATGCATACGTGCTAGAGTTTTTTCTTCGTTGTCTTCGTTCTCACACCACGCTGACCTCGACATACACATGTCTACGCCCTCGTATGGGTGTGACCACAACATGTGCCAATGCTTTTTGCCAATGCTACTTGTAGAATGTACAACCGCTACTTTCACCGACGCGTGCCTTGCCGGCACCATTTATCGAAATTAGCCCAGCGAACTCAATCAACACGCGGAGACACGACGCCCGGCAAACCACGCACAATCCTCGACGGTCTGCTCGATCTGGAACCAACCAGCAATAAAAAAAGTCACGGCATGTACATGCGTATCGGCGCGCAATTCTTCCACATCCTCGTGAGTATAGTGTGGGATGCACCCGACCAATGTAGCAGGTGCCGGATGTGAACGTTATCTTTCTCAACTCTCAACCTCTCTTGAACTCAGATTGATTTGCCCGCTTCGTTCACTTGGGTGGAATGCGACACCGACAACCATGAGGAAAGCACCTAACCTGCCCAGGATATGTCAACAACTATTCATTCCAACTGAAAAGCACATCCCGGCATCTCTCCGTGGATCCAGTATACGCGTATACGCCGGATCCTGTCTGCTCGTGGATCCTGGCTACCCCTAGATCCTGGGCTGCTACAGCCGGATTCATGTGAACCGCAGATCTACCTTCCAAATAAGGGTATCCAAACTTCGGAACACACGATAGCATACGACGCTACAGCAGCCCGCGCTGAGGGGTCGTTAGCAGGTACTAACTCTACGAACGATTAAAACAGCTTCATTATTACGCTCGGTGACATCCTCACAACTTCTCCGCCTAGACTACACCATTGAAGACGAAAAACAATTGAGCGCCGAAGCAAATCATCGCGATCCAGTCGACGAAAACATCAGAGCCGGTGACAAGGCAAGCGCTGAAAACGAGTGGGGAACAGACGCACGCCGAAAAACAAAGGCTGAGAGCGAACACGTTTGGGTCACATTTTGGTCCAGGATTTCAGATGGACTGAAATGAAAACCTGCTTGGACTGGAGTGCGGCAGATGAGCATGGAAATTGATGACCTGTGGGGGTTAAAAGTTTTGGTTTTGCGGGTCGGTTCTGTGTCGCACCGAGGAAATCTACGAGTAAGTCACCGAAGACAAACAGATTTCTCGAAAACTGACAAAAGCTTCCGAACGAAACTTGAGGAGGCAGGAGAAACACGTCTTTGAACTCACTCTAACATCTGTCATTGCCATCTCGAGAACATGACCCGAGAAAAACAACTTACGTTCACACAAGACTCTGAAGATCGCCAAGACTCTGGAGATCGTCAAGTCTAAAACGAAGTAAACACGGAGAAGCGGCCTAACTGGGGTCAAGAACCTGGGGTCAAAACCAAAAGTAGGTTCGAGAAGTTACGCTAGAGACTACAGCGTGAATTCACAACACAGTACCGCAGTGAAACAGCTCTAGGCCACACCAAAGAGCCAACCCTCAGATGGGGGCGTGGCAGGCCTAGTCCAAGCGTCTTTTCGTTGGGTGGGTGTGGCAGTACTACATGTCCCACCACCTACCGTAAATGACACAAGATAACACACCCCCTCGACCGATCTTCAAATCTCGATTTCTCGACAGCAGAAAGAGTTACAGCGCTGAAAACGGTAGAGTTGAAGCTGTCTCGTCTAGAGCTTTCCGAAAATGCAGTGTTTCATTTATACATCCTCCCCGTTGTCGCATAATCGAGCTTTGAAAATTGGTCCAGGGGCAGTGTTATCTCGTGTCGTATACGGTAGTCTGTGGGTCCAAGGTTTCTAACAACACCACTGCTGTCCCCTGCATGCTCAAAGACCAATGATGAAAACCCAAAAGGCCGCCATGCATCATCCACGTCCAATGGCCAACCGCGATTACTGGGAATAAACGCAAACACGATCCTGGGCTCACCCACCCAACACTGCTGTGACGTGTGGCGAGCTTTTACGAAACACCGGCAAAGGGCGGGTCAAAACGCCCTCATCATGAAGGCAAGGGAAGACGAAAAGCGTTCTGTTCAATCGTGCCATCCGTCTCCTTGCTTCCTTCAAGCCAAATCGAGGTCACGATTGCAGATTGCTCAAGTACCCCACGAGGCACAGGCTATGTTGCACGAGCTGCTTAATCCTCTTCGAGCTTTCCTCCTGCTCGTCCCGAAGTGCTTTCGATGCTTCCCGCAGGTCCGGGGTAGTCATGATGAGGTCTGCGTAGTGTTTGAGGAAGCGGTGCAGGTAGGCCTGGACCACCTCGAAGTTCCTCTTCGACCTGGGGCAGACAGCAATAACAACATTGATCGTTGAGGTTTACTATTGTGCCACTATCCCAGCATTCCAGAAGCCGATTATTACAACAGTTGGGTGCCAAGTTCTTCGGCCCCTCAGCGGGAACCATCGCTACCCCACCGGAATTCAATAGTTGGTTCTATCAATTCTGCAATCAGATACTTTCAACGTCGTCAACCCGATCAGCTACGAAAAACCCTGCTGAAATTCGAGGTGTGCGCAGATCCGGGCTGGCGCGTCATATACAAGAAATACAGTGGAAGGCGTAAATTGTCGCACAGGACANATCAATTCTGCAATCAGATACTTTCAACGTCGTCAACCCGATCAGCTACGAAAAACCCTGCTGAAATTCGAGGTGTGCGCAGATCCCGGCTGGTGCGTCATATACAAGAAATACAGTGGAAGGCGTAAATTGTCGCACAGGACAGATAGGATGGAGAACAACACAATGCTTAATGTGCAATACAGCGAGCTCAATGTTCTTTGGGGGGGGTGATTGTCAGCTGCGTTGTGTCTCCAACGACTGCTAGAAGGAGGTTGCAAGAGGAGGATACAAGGAGGNTATACAAGAAATACAGTGGAAGGCGTAAATTGTCGCACAGGACAGATAGGATGAACAACACAATGCTTAATATGCAATAGAGAGCTCAATGTTCTTTGGGGGGGTGATTGTCAGCTGCGTTGTGTCTCCAACGACTGCTAGAAGGAGGTTGCAAGAGGAAGATACAAGGAGGAAGGATTTACCGTAAATTACATAAGAATACACACACCCTGGACCAATTTTCAAACCTCGATTTCTCAACAAAAGAAAGAGTCGCATCGCCGAAAACGGTGGCGTTGAAGCTGTCTCGTCGAGAGCTTTCCGAAAATGTATTGTTTCATTTGTACATCCTCTTCGTCGTTGCGTAATCGAGCGTTGAAAATTGGTCCAGGGGTGTGTTATCTTGTGTCATATACGGTAAGAATCGCGGGACCGCACTATCCGCAACACCCTGTGGCGGCGGGCCAGCATCAACGGGACGACTCCCACCTCGCAAATATGCAGTACTGGATGCATTCCTCAGCTCNATCCCACCTCGCAAAATGCAGTACTGGATGCAATCCTCAGCTCACATCTCCACCCACAACTTTGGTACTTTGAGAACACTTGGGAAATCATTACCGTGCGAGGACACCGCCCANAGGATCGCGGGACCGCACTATCCGCAACACCCTGTGGCGGCGGGCCAGCATCAACGGGACGACTCCCACCTCGCAAATATGCAGTACTGGATGCATTCCTCAGCTCACATCTCCACCCACAACTTGGGTACTTTGAGAACACTTGGGAAATCATTACCGTGCGAGGACACCGCCCACCTTAGCTCTCCCAGAAGAAATTGAACCGCAAGCGCTATCAGATGCACGCCATCCTCATCCCAATCCCCCTGGCAAAGCAGGCTCATCTCCACGTCAACCATGGGCGGTTCCAGCGTCTTGAGGTACGCCATGACAGCGCCAAACGGGTGCTTTTTCTGACACCTTTGCTCTTGCTCTTNGCCAGCGTCTTGAGGTACGTCATGACAGCGCCAAACGGGTGCTTTTTCTGACACCTTTGCTCTTGCTCTTCTTCGTCGTCCTCCTCGTCCATACCGTCCGCCGCGCGACTACCCTGTTCGTCTAGAAGCAGGTCGGCGAGCTTGCAGCGCGAAGGGCCGCCGCCGCCAAGCCTCGCGGAGCTCTTGATCTGCTTGAGAATCTTCGACTTCGGGGCGACAGCACCAGCACCAGCACCAGCCGCCGCGGGCGGTGAGGAAGGTTCTTCTTCGGTGCCTACACCCAACTTCCGCTTCCTTCCGACCTTGGCCCGACCCTCCGTAGACGCTGCAGTTGCTNCACTCTAGAAGCAGGTCGGCGAGCTTGCAGCGCGAAGGGCCGCCGCCGCCAAGCCTCGCGGAGCTCTTGATCTGCTTGAGAATCTTCGACTTCGGGGCGACAGCACCAGCACCAGCACCAGCCGCCGCGGGCGGTGAGGAAGGTTCTTCTTCGGTGCCTACACCCAACTTCCGCTTCCTTTCGACCTTGGCCTCACCCTCCGTAGACGCTGCGGTTCCTGCTGCACCTTCTCCGTCGCCCTCGGTGTCGTCATCGTCGTCAGACCAAGCGTCTCCCCTGCCGCCCGATGGTAAGTGCGGGACATCTTCTTCATCCTCGGCCCCATCCTCCCCCGACACCGCCTCCTCTGCACCCCCCACCCTTGACTTCCCTTTACCCACCGCCGCCGCCGCAGCGAGGGTACCCATTTCCGGAAACGACGGCGCCACCTCCCCCCCCTTGTGCACGGTCGTCAGGAAAAACGGGGCCGCCTCCGGCTTCTTGGGCGGCTCTATCGGCCGGTTCCTCGCCTTCACCACCTCCAGGTTGAACAGGGTTGCCCAGTAGCCCCGCGGCAGGGAGCTCAGCGTGATGGCTTTGGTTCCGCCGGCCTCCGCGCCTTCGGGGTCTGCGTCTGCTTCGGCTTGCCAACCCTCGCCTCTCTCCCCCCCTAGAGACGCCCTCGCTCCTCTCAAGGCCCTCTTATCCTGGCGGTACTCGCCGTGGAGGGCGGTTATGGACTGTCCGGAGCCTCCCTCCAGAGCAGTGCTGCGTTTTGTTCGGTGAGGAAGGAAGCGTCAGGATATGACATACACCCCACGTGCTTTCCAAGCACCTCTTCGCCGATGGTCAGCACGGCGCAGAAAATAGATTTCGGGCCAATTTTCGAGGTCCTCTCCTGTCCTTAGCACAAGCCCTACATGAACGGCCCACTCTGCTGTTGCCTCCGAACGAAAAAAACAAGTGCGGTATGTCAACGCCTATCTCTTGGCCTACACCGCTGTCTCTAACCACAACAACAGATGAAGAAGCGCGGCCAATTGACGTGAACTCCTCGGCCTGCACTCGTGTCTCTGAGACAACAGCTGCAGTCTATCGACACTTGCAAATTGTCTGGCTTGCACTGCTTCCGCTAAAATAGTAGCTGCAGTCTATCAACCCCTATCGTTGGTTCTGCACTGCTTTCCTTTAACCAAGAACAACTGGAGGGGCGAAAGAAAACAAAGTGGTGGCTGAGGTGGCCTTAGCGCCGAGTCCATAGGCAATGCCTCGGATAGGCAAAACATCAAGTGGTTTCGATGGCCACAGCAAAACAGCGTGGGAGGCGGCGCCATACTGTGCGATTGGTCTCCGACTTGTACATCCGTAGTTGTACACCCGCAATACATGCACTCGTGCAATAGAGTTTCGAAGCACCTGTATCGGCCTTGGACAACAGCGCAAGCCGTGAAAGAGACCGCGAAAACTCCTCCAACCATTCAGCATGACTGTGCAATCATCACGAGCTCTGTCTTTCCCTTGCTCCGGGCAGCCGGAGAAAAACAGAACAAAAACAAAAACTTCTGGCTTGTCGGCTAGGCAAGATAGGCGAAAGCGGGTCATCTGCCATTCTTCGCTTTCCCCCTTGGACGGCCCCTCAAAAGCTCGACTCATTCCTCCGACAGCATCTAGGCAACCAAACTACTGACCTGTCTTCCACCAGAGGTGCAGGTTCGTCCATCTTAAACGGAACCGTCGGGATCTTGTCGAGGTACACTGGCTGGAAGAAGCTGACGGCAGCGAGGCGCCAAGAGACCCGTCAAGCAACAGAAGTTCACAGGAATGAAACGGCAGTGGATGTGTGGTCAGCAGGGTTTCTCATGGTGTTGAAACGATATTTTTCGAGCCGAAACGGCTCTGGGGTGCAGCCTTGCGTTGCGTTTCATGAAAGAAGCAGTAAGGAACGGCGAAACAAACTCACAACCTTTCAGCAAAAAAACAGCACCAGCGAATGGAAATTGGTAGAGAAGGGAATATTCGCTCCCATTTGCTGAGTGAACATGACAGCTGTGCAAAGAAACGATGCACAGAATCAACGACCCTCCATCTCCGACGGCAAAAATAACGCCCCGCCAAAGAGTGCGAAACTCATCCAGCACACTTAAAAACACAGCTCAGTTGTTCCACGAGGTTCGGCCTAACCTGCCCTGTGGGCTAACGTAGCCCAGCAGCGACGACACAGGTCTGTTCCACCACACAAAAAAAAGAGCACATGGCAAGCACCACCACACCAATACCAACAACAAAACACGGACCGAATCTCTGAAAACGGTTAAACACAAAGAAATAACAGGGATGCACACGTGCCGACATGCAAGCCAATACCTCCACTAAAAGTGGAGACTTTCGTGGCCTAGGCCCTTCAGAGCATAACCTCACTTCTGTATATAGGCAAAAAACGGCCCAGTCCACGTATAGGACAAAAAACCGAAAGGCAGCATGTTCGTAATCAGAAAGCGTTAGAAGAAAACGACATTACTGTGTGAAAGCTCTTCAAAGCAGTCCCGTACACCCAAAGGACGAAAACAAAATTCCAAGGAACACTCCAACAGAAAAAACGGGATACCTCTGGTCCGCCCAGANCCTCCACTAAAAGTGGAGACTTTCGTGGCCTAGGCCCTTCAGAGCATAACCTCACTTCTGTATATAGGCAAAAAACGGCCCAGTCCACGTATAGGACAAAAAACCGAAAGGCAGCATGTTCGTAATCAGAAAGCGTTAGAAGAAAACGACATTACTGTGTGAAAGCTCTTCAAAGCAGTCCCGTACACCCAAAGGACGAAAACAAAATTCCAAGGAACACTCCAACAGAAAAAACGGGATACCTCTGGTCCGCCCAGACGCTGAGCCCCACCCTCCCGTGGTGGCTGGTGCACATGAACTCTCCGGTGGGAGACACGGTCACCCTGTGACGGCCTTCTTGAAAGACATCCAATCCACCGTTCGACCTGTGGGGAGATCCCATATTCTGAGAAGAACGGACGGATGGGANCAGTGACGGCCTTCTTGAACGACATCCAATCCACCGTTCGACCTGTGGGGAGATCCCATATTCTGAGAAGAACGGACGGATGGAACGATACGGGATGTGATGGGATGGTACGGGACGGTAGGGTACGGTACGGTACGGGATAGCGTTCGGCTTGCATATACTCGTACGAAACGGAGGGACGACCGGGGTGTCTGGAATTATCAAGGAATTTTCCAGGATTTTTCCGAGATTATTGTTCCGGGGCTCCGGACTCGTGTCTTACCGGACGGTGTGATCCATCGATGACGTCACCAAGCGCCTCGCGTCCGGGGTGAAGCACATGTCGGTGAGGTGGTTCGTGTGCCCCTCCAGCCTCCTCACCAGCTTTCGGGTGGCAAGGTCGTAGAGCCGGACGACCATGTCGTCACACGCCAATGCGACGAGTTCTGTATCTCGCACCTATCGCAATCGTTGGGTGTGGTGCAATACACACGGTCGAGGCAGGTCAGTGAGATAAAAGATAGGATACCAAGAGAGACGAAAGCGCAGTGGGTCGGAAACACTCGACAGGGCTAGGCAGTGCTGTGGTGGGCCATCGCTATTGCATTTGTTTTGAATGGGCCTGTTACCGCTAGCCAAGCCCAGAGAGAGAGAGAGAGAGAGGGACAGAGGCAGAGTGACAGACAGACAGACAGAGAGAGAGAGAGAGAGAGAGAGAGAGAGAGAGAGAGAGAGAGAGAGGGACAGAGG